TATGTTCGGGCGGGGCACGGGAGCCTCGAACGTCAAACGAGCGAGGCTCGAGTGAAGTTAGAATTTGGAAAATGACTGAAGCTTGCTGCTTCTGTCATAACCGCATCTGCGGTTCTTGGACCGCAGATGTGGTCAATAGTTTGCAAAGCGGAGAAGGGGTAGGCCAGGGGAAACCGCAAAAGCAGCCCAGGGACCGCAGAAGCGATTCCGCCTATGCGGCCCCCAGACCGCAGAAGTGGTCGAGCCCCAAATCCCAAAAAGCCGCAGAAGCGGCCAAATTCCGCAGAAGCGGATTTCGCTGAAGCGGAAATACTTCCGCAGATGCGAAAATAACTAGGGGCAGAAGGGTTCATTAATACGAACCCAAACTCATTTCCTCCACATTACTCTCAACACTTAGGCGATTTTGGTGATTCCAAAGAGGAGGTTTCAACATAACATTGCAAGGTAAGTAATCCCCACTCATTTTTAGTTCAAATACATAAACATTAGGTAGATTTAACACTAAAAATTTGGTAAAATCAAGGGATTTGAGCTAGACCTAGGGTTTAATGAAAACTAAGGTTTTATCACATAATTTGCCATGTAGTGAACTAGAAATCATATATTTGTTATCCTTAGGTGATAGAGAACAACTTCCTTCGAAAAATCTCGGAGTCCGGGCACGTGGGCCCGGGGTCGGAATTTAGGAAACTTGTGTAAATGGTTAGGAAATTGTTTAAATAGCTAGAATTCAACCTTGTAAGCCTTTATTTACTAGTTCTTACTTCGTTTGATTAGTTTGGGATTGTCCGGCTTCGAATTAAGGACTTGGGCTCGTTCTTGGACATTGGAAGTGCACTTTGGAGCGAGGTGAGTCTCCTTTCTAACCTCGTAAGAGGGAATTGTCCCCTTAGGATTAATGTTTGAGTGTTTGTTGCTAAATGCGGGGACTACGCACGCGTTAGGTGACGAGAGCTCGTGCGTAGCTACTACTATGATAAATGTCCGGGTAGCTTAGGACCTACAACATGCCTATTAAATATATCTCTTATGTTAAATCGTTGTTATGAACATCTAGCGTGTACTAGAGACTTAAAAGGGGATAGGAGCATACTTTTATAGTTAATTAAGTTTGATTTGGTATTCTTGACCATTTATGTACATGTGTGTGAACTTGATATTTCATCCTTATTTGTGGATCGGGCCGATCGCCTCGGTATGAATAGATGCATCTATAGGCGCGCCGTCGACCCTCGGCAAGTGCACACTTTATTTCTGTTGGATCGGGCCGTCGCCTCGGTATTATGTGCACATGTAAATTGTGGAAAAGCCTATACATGCTTTAATTTGCCATTATCTCCTATGATAAAATTATAAACTTGATGCTGTAAAGTTCTTGACTTATACCACTCGCCATAAACTGTTGATACTTGTAAATTCCATGATTTGAATACATCATACTTATATATATATATATATATATTAATTGACCTTAGTAAGTATCGAGTCGACCTCTCGTCTCTACTTCTTCGAGATTAGACGGGATACTTACTGGGTACATATTGTTTATGTACTCATGCTACACTTCTGTACTTAAATGTACAGGATTTGAGGCAGGTGGATCCGGACATCACTCTGGTGCATATCAGTGAGCGCATCTGGGACTTCTACGGTGAGCTGCACTCCCTTCTTGCCGATCCGCAGCCGAAGAAGTCTTCCTTGTATTTTTTTGTTGTTGTTTCTGTCTATCCTGATTCAAACAGTAGGATAAGGATATTATTCATTTTGTGTATATTCTACTAGTTGCCCTTAGCTTGTGACACCAGGTTTTGACACACACAGTAGTAGACGTCATTTTGGGTTGTATAACTGTCTTTACATTTTATTGATCTTTACTGGTTTATGACTTTAATTGGGGGAAAAATCTATTATAATGGTTTTTTTTGGTAAGGGTAAAATGAGAATTTAATTATACTTCCGCGTTGGCTGGCCTGACAAATGGTGTCGGGCGCCATCATGACCTATTATGGAAAATGGGCCGTGACATTCATTATACTGGTATAGGAATCAATGAAACGGTATGTGAACATACATTACTTTTTTTGTTTTGTTTTAGAATAAATATGTTTCTGTATATTCGATTGATATCTGTTTTCTTTTTGAAGCATATTGATGTTATATTCTATTACCTCCGGAAGAAAGCAAAATATGAAAACATAAGGATGACAACTACAGACAATTATTTCAGTACTATCATCAAGAAGTGTACAGTAAATCGAATATGCATGACATAAAGGTACAAAATGAGATTTTTGATTTGACAAAGAAGTTAAGAGAGTATGTTCTTGGGTTTTACATTCTTGGTAACACCCCCTGGGTTTTCGTGGATTATGTTCTTATGCCACTCAATGTAAAAGAGGCATGGCATTGGGTGTTGGGTGTTCTATCTTTGCATACTGGGTGCATATACATATATGACTCAATAAGATCCTCAAGACATGATGCTGTAGTTCATAAAGCTTTGAACTCATTTGCTGTAATGATACCATTGTTGCTCAACACTACTACTTTTTATTAGCAAAGAAGTGACATTACAATGGATAAACCACATTTTTTGGAAAAAGAGGAGCTAAGTAATCCATTTGCTATTATTTCAGTGGATAACTTGCCTCAACAGGAAAAAGCGTAAGTGTTTTGCTATGTTTATCTTGCTTCTTTATATTACTTCAGTTATTTATCGTTTATTGTTTTATCTTATTCTTTCTTAATATGTGTTTTATTGTAGTGATTGTGGTATATATTGTTCTGCATTTGCGGAGTATTTCATTGAAGGCAAGGAGTTACCAGATGACAAGAACATGTTTGATCCTACACGTCTTCGATTAAGATATGCAGCATTACTATACATTTATGGTAAAAAGAAGCAGTTGGAATCTCTTGTTCGTGAAGATGAGTCTACAGGAAGACTAGATAAACCTTCTGTTTCAGAAAGGCACAAGATTAAGAACAAGAAATAATTTTTTGTTCTTTTCAGTAATTGACTACATACTTTTGATTGAAATGCAGATTATTATGCTATATATTATGATAGAATTAAAGACTATAATATTTTTGAAGTTTTTTTTTATGAAGGGATACAAACCATTATATTATAATGAAGAAGTGTAAAATAGTGGAAATTTGGTATCTAGAATAGTTAACCGTAATTACATAATTTAATATTTTGTGTCTAGTAATTAACCGTAATTACACTGGAGATTTTTAGTGCCAATGTTATTAATTTTATATTAATATAATATCTTTTTATTTCCTGTATATTTTACTTGATGCTTATATTGCTAAACCACTATGTCATGGAGTAATTATTTACTGCATTGTTGATAATAATAAGAAAAGAAGACAAATAACCTTTCAAAAAAAGTAATGACATAAAACAAAGTTCTAGGTTAAACAGAACTCACCCAGTATAATATACTGGAGAAAAAGCTTACACAAGGCAGATATCCCATAAAATATACTGGACAATATGTAATTAAATGGAATTAAATAATTTAATTTTTTGTTTTCTGTATGTTATACTGGAGTAATATATTGTTAAAGCAGTAAACCCCGTATTTAATACTGGATATGAAAAATCACTAAAAAAAATGACTAATAGTAAAAAGTCACCTAGTATAATATACTGGAGATAAAGCTTATACAAGGCACATGTCCCGTAAATTTTACTGGAATGAAACAAAATTTACTAGAGGACAACCACTAACATCAAGTATAATATACTGGACAAAATAAAAGTAAGTGGAATTACATAATTTAATATTTTATATTAATATAATATCTTTTTATTTTCTGTATATTTTACTTGATGCTTATATTGTTAAACCACTATGTCCTGGAGTAATTATTTACTGCATTGTTGATAATAATAAGAAAAGAAGACAAATAACCATTCAAAAAAGTAATGACATAAAACAAAGTTCTAGGTTAAACAGAACTCACCCAGTATAATATACTGGAGAAAAAGCTTACACAAGGCAGATGTCCCGTAAAATATACTGGACAATATGTAAATAAATGGAATTAAATAATTTAATTTTTTGTTTCATGTATGTTACACTGGAGTAATATATTGTTAAAGCAGTAAACCCCGTATTTAATACTGGATATGAAAAATCACTAAAAAAATGACTAATAATAAAGAACTCACCTAGTATAATATACTGGAGATAAAGCTTATACAAAGCACATGTTCCATGAAATTTACTGGAATCAAACAAAATTTACTAGAGGATAACCACTAACATTAAGTATAATATACTTGACAAAATGAAAGTAAGTGGAATTACATAATTTAATATTTTGTTTCCTTTATAATATACTGGAGTTATATGTCGTAAAACCACTATGTTTTTACGACATAGTGGTTTTTTTGTAAGCAAATCAAGAAGCAAAAAAAAAAAAAAATACACTGTATTAATATTTTGAAAAACAAGAATATTGAATATATATTATTCGGGATTACATCAGCCAATGCAACTTTATTGTATATATTCAATCATTTTTTTTCCCTATATTTTCTTGCATAAGAATGAACTACAGCAGAATTTGTGCAATTTGTTCTGGTATGCCCATATTTTTTGCAACAACTACATCTTGGTTCCTTCTTGAATTCTGTACCGGAAACATGTCGATTCTTGTGTCTTCTTCCTAGCAGTACTTTGGCATCTGGAGGCTTAGTGATTTCTGATTTAATAGTGTCTGGTATAGCCCATGTTGTTGCATCACCTACAGAATTTACTTGCCCTTCATACGTTTTCAACCAAAAGTCCCTTGAAAAATAGGCTAAGCAAAAGGCCGATTTCTTTTGATGTATACTCTCAATTGCAGCAATTGCATGTTCACATGGCATCTCATCTAGTTGAAATTCAGAACAATCACATGTTCTTTTGTCTAGATCAAAAATAAATTCCATACCACCTTCTTTGACATTGAATTTGAGTCTATCAATGGGCAATACTCTAAATGTAAAAGCTGGTTGAATTTTTGCTTCCAATGTTGCTTCTGTATATATCACGGAATATTTCTTCTGCAAGTGTCCTTCTTTCATAGAACCAGCTTTGCAATTTTTCTTGTATGAAATCCATCATTGTTAAAATTGGCAATTCTCTTGAACGTCTTAAAACATTATTCATTGACTCAACAATATTTGTTGTTAACATATCATATCTTCTTCTGGGACAATGTGAACGAGCCCACCTTCCTGGCGGTTCCTCCATCAAATAATTGAAAGTTTTCTTATCAACAGCAGCTATTTGGGACATGAAATCATCAAATTCTGATTGAAGGTATACTCTTGCAGCACTTTGAAAGAGATTTATCACAGTGTTTCTCACTCTTCTTTGCTTCAGATTCTTTTCTAAATGATAGATGCAAATTCCATGGTAGCACTCAGGGAAAAAGTTTGCAATTCCATTTGCAATAGCCTTGTGTCGATCTGACAAGAACATTAAATCATTACGAATCCCAATTACTTTTCTTAATTCCCTGAAATACCATTCATATGATTCATTATTCTCTTTATCCACTACTCCAAAAGCTATAGGAAAAATCTGGTTATTTGCATCTTTGGTAACAGCCACTAATAGAACACCTCTAAATTTATTTTTTAGAAATGTTCCATCAACAGCAATCAGTGGTCTACAATACTTCCACCCAGAAATTGATGCCCCATACATAAAAAACATGTAAACAAACCTGTAAAAAGAAAAGTAAATAAAATTCAGTTAACTTACACAGTATAATATACTGGAGATAAAGCTCATACAAGCCACACGTCCTGTAAAATTTACGGGCATCAAACAAAAATTAACTATTTTATAATATTCTTCCAGTATAACATACTGGAGTTCCATTAACATCCAGTATAATATACTAGATAAAATAAACTAAAAATACAAAATTTTAGGTTGAACAGAACTCACCCAGTATATTATACAGGACAGAAAGCTTATAAAATACAGATATCCTGTAAAATATACTGGATGACAACCACTAACATCCTGTATAATATACTGTACAAAATCAAATACAATAGATTGAAGAGAAGTCACCCAGTATAATTTACAGGAAAGAAAGCTTTTACAATACACAAGTCCTGTAAAATATACCGGAAGACAAACACTAACTTCCTGTTTAATATACTGGACAAAATGAAATAAAATTGAAATACATAACTTAATATTTTGTTTCCTGTATATTAAACTGGAGTTATATACTGTTAAACCACTATGTCCCGTATTTAATAATGGACATAAAAAATCACTCAAAAAAAGTAATAAATAAAAAGAACTCATCCAGTATAATTTATAGGAAAGAAAGCTTATACAATACACACATCCTGTAAAATATACTGGACGACAACCACTAACATCCTGTATAATATACTGGACAAAATAAAATACAATAGATTGAACAGAACTCACCCAGTATAATTTACAGGAAAGAAAGCTTATCATAAATAAGAAATTTACCTGTTTTCTTCATCTCTCACAATATTTGTATATGATCCTGGATTTTTTTGTTCCATCATATACAAATATGATGGCAGCTGCTCATAATTCTGTTCAGTTGTTCCTCTTAACAAAGATAACCCCTTTTGAATAGCATGCCATGCTTTTCCATAACCAACATCAATTCCATGTGCTCTTTTCATCTCTGAAATGACAAACTTAGGTTTTACCTCAGTAGCTATGTCTCTTAAGTTGTCAATCACGTAATCTCTAATCACATTTGAAGTTGCTTGCCTTTGATCTGATTTTCGAATATCAACTGAGCACTCATGTGTTCTCTGAAATTTAACTATTTTAAAAAGTGTTGATTCCTTAATTCTTGAACCTCGAACAGTCCAAGTACACTTTTCATCAGTACATACCAAAGAGTATCTCATGTTACTTGACCTGTTAACATAGAACTCAAAATGCTCCTTTATAGCTGCTAAGCAAAAACATCTAATCATGGCATTTTTATCTTGAAAAACAGAACCAAGTTTTACATCATCCAGTGATGCATTTTCCTTTAATATTATTGATGGAGATTCTTTTGCCTTTCCTTTTCCTTTCCTTTTTCTTCCTTCAATACTTTGTAGTGATTCAATGTGCTGATCTTCCACATGAATTACAATTTCTTTTTCCATTGTAATATCATAAATTGGATTCTCCTGCTCTTCTTCAACTTGAGATATCAGCAACACTTGCTCTTCCGGACCATATGTGTTTCTGTGCAATAACGTTTTGATTATCAATTTCCATTATTGCATTACCTTCTAGTTGTTGATCTGGTTTTTCTGATATTTCAACAACAAATTTCGAATCTTTATAGTATGGATCATTTTTTAAAAGAATCATACACATAATAAGATCTTCATCTTTTGTCACTTCTATTCCCTTAGAAGTACCTAGGTTGATATTAAGCCATACATTTGCTTGAAACTTTTTGTTGTCAAGCTCTATAACTTCAAAAAATTTTCTAAGGAATTCTTCAAATGAAGTCCCATCATTTATCAGGAGGAGCTTCGTTTTATGATCCAAGTACTTGTAATCTGCTGTCCATTTGCCATCGAACGCAGTAATCAAGATTTTTGTATGCATCCTGTATTTAATGAACCCAAATAATTAGATATCTAGAAATTATACTGTTTAAAAATATAATATTCATCCAGTATAATATACTGAAGAATAAGCTTACATACAGGTGATGTCCCGTAAAATATACTGGATTAAAACAAAACTCAATTATATTCTAGTCTTAGAACTTATCCAGTATAACATACTGGAGAAAAAGCTTAGACACAGGCGATGTCCCATAAAATATACAGGATTAAAACAAAACTCAATTATAATCTAGTCTGAAAACAGAATTCGTCCAGTATAACATACTGGAGAAAAAGCTTAGACACAGGCGATGTCCCATAAAATATACAGGATTAAAACAAAACTCAATTATAATCTAGTCTGAAAACAGAATCCGTCCAGTATAACATACTGGAGAAAAACATTACATACAGGTGACGTACTTTAAATTATTCTGGATTGAAATAAAACTCAACTATATTATAACATAATATCTACATTAACGAAACATACTTCAAGTGAATTACAATGCCTTTTTTATGAGATTTCCAATATAATAAGCTGGAAACGTCCAGTAAATTATATTCTAGTCTAAATAGAACTCAACTATATTCTACTCTAAATAGAACTCGTCCAGTATAACATACTGGAGAAAATTTTAAACACAGGTAATTTCCTGTAAAATATACTGGATTGATATAAAACTCAATTATATTCTAGTTTATGCAGAACTTATCCAGTATAACATACTGGAGAATAAGCTAACACATAGGTAATGTCCCGTAAAATATACTGGATTCAAACAAAACTCAATTATATTCTAGTCTTAGAACTTATCCAGTATAATATAAAAAATATTACACACAGGTGACGTCCCGTAAAATATTCTGGATTCAAACAAAATTCAATTATATTCTAGTCTTATAACTTATCCAGTATAACTTATTGGAGAATAAGCTTATACACAGGTGATGTCTCGTAAAATATAGTGGATTCTATCAAAACTCAATTATATTCTAGTCTTAGAAATTATCCAGTATAACATACTGGAGAATAAGCTTACACACATGAGATGTCCCGTGAAATATACTGGATTAAAACAAAACTCAATTATATTCTTGTCTTAGAACTTATTCAGTTTAACATACTGGAGAATAAGCTTACACACAGGTGACGTCCCGTAAAATATTCTGGATTCAAACAAAACTCAATTATATTCTAGTGTTAGAACTTATCCAGTATAACATATTGGAGGAAAAGCTTACACACACGTGATGTCCCGTAAAATATACTTGATTCAAACAAAACTCAATTATATTATAACATAATATCTACATTAACGAAACATACTTCAAGTGAATTATAATGCTTTTTTTATGAGATTTCCAGTATAATAAGCTGGAAAAATCTTCGCTTTAGATATTAATTTAGAAACGTCCAACAATTTATACTGGCGCTATGTTCTACATTGAGAAAATTAGACAATAACACAGATTAAAGCATTAAAAACAAATCAAAAATTCGAAAAATTAAATTTTTTTACTGATACTTTGAATTTTATGGTTTGAATTCTTGATCGTAGAAGAAATTTAAATAATCAGACAAATTTTAGATAGAACTTACTTCGATTTGCAGATTGACGACGGAAATTTTGCTAAAACTTTGATTTGCAGATTGACGCAGAACGATTTTGCTAACACTTCGATTTGCAAATTAACGCCGGAAGATTTTGCGAATACCTCGATTAACGCCGAAAGATTTTGCTAATATTTCGATTTACAGATTGACGGTGAAAATTTTCCTAATAACTCGATTTGAAAATTAATGCCGGAAGATTTTGTTAAGTTTTGCTAAAAGAAGAATTTAAGGTGAAGTCGCGTAAATTAATAAAAAAAGCAGGGGTATTTTAGTCAACAAAATATTACCGCACTAAATTAGTGACTAAATATCGTTGACCGGTGATTATGTGGCTACATTTGATTGACCAGGCGAAAAACTGGCCATTTTTGAATTTTTCGCTCCTATTAGTGACATGCACATTTCACGTATTAGATGCTAGCTAGGCCCATAAGGCCCAACAAGAATGAAAGTTGGATTGAACTATAACACAACTGAAGCACCTCCAATTTTCTTTAATGGGATATTTATTTAGCTATACTATTGCTTGATCATAAAATATAGATCTCGGTTCAAATCATTAAATTTATAGAAATAAAGGTTAATCTTAGCTAACAATAACATCCCTAAACGGAGTTTTTAGAGAAGCAACAGATATTACATAGATCTGGCCGAATAATGGCGATGTCATGCAATAAATACTCTAAAACCCAGATGTAATAAAATAGCATTTAATGATAAAGAATAGCAACAAATGGCATATAAGTAAATAAAGTGAATGGATCACCCAAGAAAGGAAGGAATAAGTGGATGTTCCGCCTGACAATGATGAATGATAGACAAATCCTTGAATATTCGAGTTATTCTCGGATCTGATGGAAAAGTATGGACAAGAATCTCAGTGAAAATATGTTGTTTGTATCTTAGTAAGTGAGAGCCGAATCTTTAAGTCTAATTGTGTTCTTTACAAAAGAATATCCCATGTCTCCTATCATTGTCTCTTTTCCTATTTATATGGGATATATTCCTAAGAAACCCTAATAGTACAAGTGCAGAGAATATCCACTATATTATTCTCTTTAATGTCCTATCTTGAAAACTAGCCGGTACAGCTCTGTCAATGGTCCTCGACCTCGACCTTTGTTGATACCTCGACTACGACTCTCGTTGACTCTTCGTCCACAGACATCGCTGCTTCTTGGGCTATTTAGACAAACGACGACTTGGGAACTCTTCCCTTAATACTTTCTTGGCTCAAATATTCTAAAGACATATTTCTACCCATACAGTTAGTCCCTTTGCTCATTGAGGCCGGCTTCAGGCGGGTTCGATGAGCGTATTTTGTTCGTTTTGGTTGAAACAATCGTACGAGTTGTGCAGGTCGTGGTGATTACAACGAATTGGTAATGTGGCCTTACGCGGGCCGCGCATTTCAAATGCTTCGATTTTCCCGGTCGATTCGTTGGAGTTATGATGTCCACAAATTAGGATAACATCATAATGTCCTCGATACGTTGCTTCGTTTCGCATGTGACCCCCGATTGATCCTGCCGCTTCAGTTCCGGTGCCAGTAATGATGAACCATAATCAGTCCTGGTGCCAAAATCCTTATAAATAGAGGTATTTGGGTGCGATTTTGATGTTTTAAGTTTTCTGTTGTTTCGAAACCCTATATCACTCTCTTTCTCTTTCCTTGCTTTGAACCTCTCCTCTCTGTTCCAGTGATTTGTATTGCTCTCAGTTCTTCATCGCTTGATATTTCTCTTTCTTTTTTCAAAGCATGTTTAACATGCCTTCTGAGAAATGTTCCCTCCATCGCCGAGGACGGAAGCTTCCCGTTGGTGGAGGAGATAATTCCTCGCGACCTTGATACTAGATCTGATTTCTCCGAATCACATGATGCTGATGCTGACCCTGGAGTTTTTCGATCAGTGATGACGGAGAAGGAATTGGGAGAGATTAAGGCCAAGTTCATCCTTCTTGATCACGTCGAATAAATCGCGGCTGGTGGGATGCGGTACACGTCCACCGTCCTTGGTACTGCGCCTTCTACACCTATCCCTTCCAAGTCGGCTACACTCTCTCTTTCCTTTCGTTGGCGGAGGAATTCTGTCGCTATTAAGGCGTCTGTCCAGCTCAACTTGCATCGTATGTTAAGCTTATACGGATGCTCACAAAATTTTCCTAGCGAGCTGAGGTCGAACTGACTCTTCGACATTTAATACATCTGTTTGCCCCCAGCTTTTATAGGGGACGATGTTGAACCTTCGCTACTGAGGAGGCAAGTGCTTGGTGGTGAAGATGAATGACAAAGCTAACCACCAATTTTGGTTCAACTTCTTCTTCGTCAAATTCGAGGACATGGCGGCCAACGTCGACGGTTTTCCTGAGGCTTGGAATTGTACTCGTAAGTACCTAATTTCCTCGTATGTAGGTATCTGATTTTTCTCCCGTGCTTGGTCGTGGGTTTTGACCTCTTGTCTTTTTTTCATGCAGCCAAGACCTCGCCTCCTCCTTTGGTCGAAAACATTTCTGATTGGGTTGGTCGGCTCCTTCCTCACATCATAGGGATCCGTGAGTGGTCCGGTTTCTTCAAGAAGTTTGTGCCTGCTCTTCCCTTGACTGGTAAGTTCCCTTTATTACCGGTGTCTTAGTTCTTTTTTCTTTTGGTTTACTTTTGCTGACCTTTCCCTTTCCCTGTATTTTTCCTAGCTTCAGCAAGGGGATCTTCGAGGAGTTTGAAAGCTCCCGCACCCGCGTTCCGAAAGAGGAAAGCCACTACGTCCTCGACTCCCGCCCTTTCTTCGACTGCGGCTACTTCTATTCGTGCCTCGGTCCCTTCTTCGACGGTTGCTGCTTCTAAATCTGTCCCTTCTTCGGCCGCGGAGACTTCGGCTGTGGAAACCTTGGCTCTTCAGTTGTTACATCTTATCGATGAGGACGAGAA